TTTGCTTACTATAAGTTACAATTGATTTATTCAAGAAAATATATTCCAATTTGTCAAATATAATCAAACAATATGGAACATCTAATTGATATGATATGATATGATAACGTAGTAGTTTATTTGTTTTCATTTTTCTTCCTAATGATGACAATATCGTTAGCAATACTTATAAATGATTATTACAATTAAAAACTTGCATAGTTAAAAAATTGCAAACAATTTTGGAAATAGTTAAATTAATAAAATACATTGCTAAAGAAAATAATTAAGTATGAAATTTTTTAATTTAAATTTAACATAATTTTAAAAATCATAAACTTGTGCTATATTTTGAAAAGTTTAAATGATAACAACTAATTATCATATATGCAAATAGAACATCTTAAAATTAATATTTATTTTTAATTTTTATTTTAAACCAATAAATGATGGTGACAAATTTTAGCAGGCTTTAGCATCTGTTCCGAAAATATGGTAGAAATGTCTCAGGAGGGATTGAATGAATACTCTACCATCCCACGAGGGAAGCTTTATCCTATCTTTATGATATATCAAGTTCTGTTATTTCAATATCATAAACATTTTACAGTAAACAATCCTAATATAATGTACTATTAATCAAATGATATTTGGCCATGTCATAAATAATAAAATTAACTGAACCATGCAATGCTATCTTCGCTTCTTTCAACATTATCATTATCACCATTATCATTATATCATCATCATCATCATCATCACAATCGTCACTATCACCGTCAACATCATCATCATCATCATAGTCATTATTGTTGTCATATCATCAATTATTCATTTTGTCACTTTAATATCGCTTTATAGCGATGATAATGATGTTAGCGGTAATGGCTCAATCTCGAACAGATTTCCAAAGGCATTAATTTGGGTTAAATGAAAAAATAAATAAATGGCAATGTCACATTTTAGTAAATTTTCTTTGTCGGTGCTAATAAATCCTTCCAGAAAAGAGAAGATAGAACTGAAATGAAGCGGAATAACATCAAATGCTTCCTTCCGTTTTCCTTTCCTCCTTTCCAGAAGAATGAAATTGGCGGGGTATGAAAAGCAGAAGAAATGGGAAATAAAGAGAGCGAAAAAAACGCGGTAACAAGATTGAAGAGAAGTGAAAAATTAACGACATTTGATGAAAACGATATCATCCACTTCTTTAAAGCTATCACTAAAATTTACATATCAATTATTTTTAATATATGTTTATAACATATAAGGAAGGAAATGAATGATCTCAGCTCACAACAAAAGAAATGCTAATTAGCTATAAGTAATTTTATTTTTAGTTTTTTCAAAAAAAAACGAACTTTTTAAAAAAAGAATAACAAAATTTAAATTATAACGGAACGAGTTTCTTTTTTCAGATTGATTTAAATAATTAAAATTTCTTTTGTTTTATCATATACTTACATTTTATCCTAAATTACCAAGAGAACTTTAATGTAAGCGCTGATTATTATTTTAAATTTCAAATTTTTGAAGAAGTACGATATACAGTAGCAAAATTATTAAATATCAGATGAATTTTAAAAATTTAATTTTTCTTTGCAAATTTGTTTAAATTCTTAAATTTTGTTATTTATGACAGATTATTTAAATTCTATTATATTATAATAAGATTGTATAGTTAATGCTATATGTTATCAATGGATTGTATAGGTAATGCTATATGTTATCAATGGACTGTATAGGTAATGCTATATGTTATCAATGGACTGTATAGGTAATGCTATATGTTATCAATGGATTGTATAGGTAATGCTATATGTTATCAATGGATTGTATAGGTAATGCTATATGTTATCAATGGACTGTATAGGTAATGCTATATGTTATCAATGGACTGTATAGGTAATGCTATATGTTATCAATGGACTGTATAGGTAATGCTATATGTTATCAATGGATTGTATAGGTAATGCTATATGTTATCAATGGATTGTATAGNATCAATGGATTGTATAGGTAATGCTATATGTTATCAATGGATTGTATAGGTAATGCTATATGTTATCAATGGATTGTATAGTTAATGCTTTTAAATGTTCACATTTTTTTCGTCGTTTTGTTTTTTCTTGAAAACTTTTGGTAATAATCTCTTCCTTTTAAAATATTTAAATTAAAGTTTAAATTTAATTCAAACTTTAATTATATCTTTTTTTTGCAATTTCAATCCAATGGCTTGATAAAAATTATTATATAAGCTATATAAGCTATAAACTATTATATAAACTATTATTATATAATTATTATATAAGCTATTCGTGAAAATGAATTATTGAGAATTCCTTTTTTAATTTAAATTAAATCCCAAAAAATCAATCTAATCATTTCCATAATTCTATTAAATCATTTAAGTTTCAAATTTCAAATTAAATTAGATTCATATTTTAATTATGTCTTTGTCTTTTAATTATGCCTTTTAATAAGTTCTATTTTTCATTTGTGATATTATTAAAATAATTCCTTTTTTTTTCTTCAATTAAAAAAATCAATAATTATGATCAGTTTTCTATTTCATTAATTATTATTTACAGAAAACAATAAGAAGGAAAGAAAGAAAAGTTCATCAAAAAGGGACGAATAAATTTACCGCAAATTTATCAAAAGAATCCGAAAAGAAAAGATTCATTGAATAAAAAGAAAAATAAAAGTAGGAAAAAATGCTAAACAAATCATTTAAACAAACAATCTTAATTACTATTTTATATGCATGCATGCATGCATTCATTCATGCATGCATATGTGTTTATGCATATTTTGTCACGTGTCGGTATTATTCGGTCATTTTTACCGGTCAGTAGAAATGTTAACCAATCAGTCAGTTAGTTCACTCGTTAGTTAGTTAGTTAGTCAGTCAGTCAGTCAGTCAGTCAGTCATTCAATCTTATTTTATTCCTTTCATCCATACCGCTTTTCCATTTACGATAATGCAGATTGGCTTTTTGTTCGTATTGTTATTCGGGGAAGATTTCGAAGGGTTACCATACAATAAAATCCTATTCATACATTTATGGATTAAAACCGAGTTATTGATGGGTCAGTCGATTTGCTATGATTGAATGTTTTGTTTGAAATAATTTCCATTTTACGATCTTATCGTTTTACAGTGCTGTGACCTTATCGTACCGTAGTATTTGATGTTAATTAACAATATGAAGAGAGAAAGAAACAAACAAATCTGTCGCTAATTCATTTTTAAAACTTTAACTAATAAAAAGAGTAATGAAATTTGAGAGGAAAAGAAAACACCGGTAGGCGAAAGAAAGTAATCAGAGCGGGAGAGAAAGCTTGAAGAATGTTTAATCTGACAAATGAACAGTATGATAAACCTCTTTTAGTCAAGGCTAATCCTCTTTTCTTAACCTTTGTCATCGAATTACCACCCGACGGATACCTGTTGCGAGATAATACCTCACCATACTTCACACTTGTTTATATCTAAGGTTAAAGGGTAGAAAAGTATGTGAGGTGAAATAAGGAACAGTGCAAAAATAATATTTTAATAAAATTTAAACGAAAGAGAAAGACGAAGAAAAATTTAAGAAATTACATAACAAATAATTTTCATTAATTTCTTGTAACTTTTAGATATGTTGAAATTTGCATATTTAAATGTACGAATTAATTATCATCAAATCAGTTGTCATCTATTTCATCAGAATAATACCTTCTCATCCGTTATACTTTCCATCGATCTATGTTTACAACGAAAAGGTAACGAAATAAATATATATGGAAAAATTTACATATTTAAATATTAATTAATTATTAATTTTATTAATTTGGAACAGAAACAATATTTTTTTCTAAAATTAAGAATAAAAATAAGAGAAAATGCTTTGATTTCAAATTTAATTTTCATTATTTTTCTGTAAATTTCAAATAATTTGCATATTTAAATATTAATTAATTATTAATTTTATTAAAATTTACATATTTAAATATTAATTAATTTCGGTTTTGTTTCATTTAATTAAAATTAAAAACGAATATTATGAATTGAAAATTAATTTTATTTGTTCAAATTTACTAAATTTCGATCTTTTGATTTTTTTCGAAAAAGAACGGACCAACCCCTTTAATAATAATAATATTCCAAAATAGCAGACGGTGAAATGACCGTTCTTTTAAGAGCGTAAAGGCGGAGCTATACAATGACCATTTCTCCACCCTTTTTCATTCCTTCCTTTTCGACCACTGTCCACTTCAATATCATATCGGAAATATACATTTCCGGTTTTACATCACTCGGTATGGCCGGAATGCATTTGTTTTCAATTTTTGATATCTTATTTTTGCAAAAAATTTCTATTGTTTTCTAACCATTGCATCTATTCTAGAATAATTAAACCGAATAAATGATGAAATTTCGGGTTTGCAACATAATTACAGTATAAAGAATATAAATAGGCTAGATCGTAATTATGTGTAAAATATGAAATTTTAATTTTTAGAAGATTTTATAAATCTCTCTCCTCCTATTATATTTCCAATGATTTGACACTTCCTAATATATATACATTACAATGAAAACTTTTCAGTCAATATAATTAATGATATCGATTAACTTATTATTAATTTTGATAGTATCATATATGTGTTTTTTAATATCGGTTAACTGATATTATTAATTTTGGTAGTATCATATATGTGTTTTTTAATATCGGTTAACTGATATTATTAATTTTGATAGTATCATATATGTGTTTTTTAATATCGGTTAACTGATATTATTAATTTTGATAGTATCATATATGTGTTTTTTTAATATCGGTTAACTGATATTATTAATTTTGATAGTATGATATATATATTTAAAGGAGATTCGAAACAATTCTAATTAATAAAATTAAATTAAATTATTAGTAAGAATGAATGAGGAAGATTTCAATGATTGGAAAAATAATCATTGACAATTCTTCGCTATCTTCAACCACAATATCATCTTACCATTTGTTTACAGAATAATGACAGCTCCATCATCTATTGCATCAAATGAGCCAACAATAACTTTTACGACATTTGATGCTAACAGTAAATCACGAATGCGCCGTCAAAAAGCAAATACACGAGAACGAAATCGTATGCATGGCTTAAATCGTGCATTGGATAAATTACGCCAACGTGTCCCAATAACAACTCAACATCAAAAACTTTCCAAAATTGAAACATTACGATTAGCAAGGTTTACTATACATCGTTTGTCTAATTAGTAATAACTGTGATAGTTAGTTCTATGGGTACGATAAATTTTAATTAATTACTATTAATTTAATTCAATTTTATTTTAAAACGAAATTCTTTTCTATCATTTAATAATTAATAGTTATTTCGGAAATAGAATAAATCATAATTAATTATTGTTTTATTAAAACTTCCTTAAATTCCAATATCATTCGAATTCAGATTTATACAATTACATAAGCTATTATATTTTCACATTTAATTTCTTCTCATTAATAATTATCGTCCACTTATTCGCCCCATATTCATCTTGATATTTTGATGCTTTACCTTTTTGTCATATTCTTAAAAAAGCTTCACTGATAAAATTGATATCAAATTACGGTTAGTAAGTATAATCAATCAAAATTGAAACTAATCAAAAGGCGCCATCAAATGTCGCATAGATCTTTTAACAAATATCTTTTTGTCTCAAGTGGTAATAACTTCTAATTTGGCAAATAAAGATTACGGTATTCTTACCACAACGTTTTTTATTTCAAGATTTTCGCCTCATTTATAATTCATCTCTTGCTATTATTTATTATTATTATTTATTGTTATTATTATTTATTTATTTATTCATTTGTTTATTTATTATTATTATTATTAATTTATTAATTATTAATTATTATTATTAGTTATTATTATTAATTAATATTATTACTGTTACCACTGCGTTCATAGATTAGGATTTCGAATAATACAATAGAAAAAAGCCTTGTAATATTTGAAAACAATCAGCAGAAATATTTTTTTATGCATTTCAGTGTGTGTGTGTATGTGTGTGTGTGTGTATGTGTGTGTGTGTGTGCGTGTATGTGTGTGTGTGTGTGGCGTGTGTGTGTGTGTGGCGTGTGTGTGTTAATTCACCGAACTTATTTGTAAATCGGAAGTGAAAATTTTCCCGGTTCATAATTTTCATCTAATTAATGAATATAAATTAATTTAATTAGCCAAAGGAGATGGATAAGGAGGTAAGCTTGACCTTATCACATACTACCGTTATTGCTGAATGATTTTAATAAAACAATAATGATTCATTACGACTGGAAACAGTAATTTATCCTTCTCTTCTTTCCCATCTCCTCTGGTAATCATTTTCTAAATTGTCATCATCCCATTTCCACCTAACCTATCGTCGTCAATCACACTATTCTCAAATCATCATCACCTTTTTACATTAACCTAATAGATTTATTCTTTCTCTCACCTTTCTTTTTCTACCTTTCTAATTGCTATGAAATAATTTCTAAATTTATAATTACATATATTTTTCAATTATCTTTTACAATTGCATTCTTATAGTTAATTCACATTCTTTCTATCCTAATATTTCAACTTAAGAAGAAGAAGAAGCAGAGGGGAACAACAATATATTAAGCATGTATTAAATACTTTGACCTAATCTAATTGAAATTTATTTTTTAACTTATTTTGAATTTGCTATTTTATTGAAGCTTATTTGAACTTTAATTTTATTCATTCATAATTCTTAAAAAAGGAAGAGATAGGAATGAAAAATAATATCTTAATGAAACAATACGACAAAGATCAATAATAGTAGCAATAGTAGTAGTAATGTGGTAGTTTCTTAAAATTTATTTCAGACACTGATTATTATTAAATGTTATTAGATAATGATTATTATTATAGATAATGATTATTATATTATATTATCATTAGATAATGATTATTATTAGCTAGTTATAATAATTAATGATAATGATAGTTGATTATTTATTATTAACTGATTATCATAAATGTTGTAATAATTTGATTTTTTTTTTTGTAGAAATTATATTGCTGCATTGGATCATATCTTGGATAGTAATATACAACCAAGTGCTTTGGAATATGCAAATATGTTAAGTAATGGAATGAGTCAAACTACAACAAATTTAATAGCAACTTTACTTCATGTACCACCTCGTTTACTTGCATTAACTCAACAACAACAACAACAACAACAACAACAACAACAGCAACAACAACAGCAACATCAACAACGACAACAACATCAACAGCAACAACAACAACGTAGTATGTATTATCATCAGGATCACCAAGCTTATCTACACGAGGATAATCATCCTGAGTACAATCATCATAATTTTGCATCTATCTTATATCCTGCTAAATCAACAACTAATCTTCCAGAATGCATTTCATCACATTTAAATCAGTATAACTTCATGGATGCTATCAATGTACAAAGCATTGAATCTAATCAATCGATTCCGGTACAAATATCAACAACCTCTAAATTTCATTCAGCATCAAATATTTCAACAAATACCATTATGCCTTTAGTACCCATTGGTTTTCACTGTAAATAGCTATAGAATTTTTTCATATTTTATTTTAAAATTAAAATTTTGGAAGTAATCATTATTAATTATATTAATTATAATTATTAATTATTATTAGATACATGATTTGCTAGATTAGTATTTTGAAATGTTGAAATTTGAATGTAAATTTTAATTTCAGCATTTAAGCAAAGGACATTCCATGTTATTCCATGTTGTGTTTGTTTGAATTTACCGGTGAACTATAACACTAAACTGTGCCGATTTATTGAAATAAGTATTAGGATGAATTGTTTACTATTCAAAATTTTCACTTATTAAAATGAACTATTTGATGATATTTTATATTTGGATGAAAGATTAACCTGTTATTAACCTATTATTATTAGTTTTATATTTTTACATGCAAACTTCTCTTTTGTTTTTCATTTAATACATGTTTTATTGTTGACAGTATTGTTATATTACTTACTGATAATAAATATCAAAACGTCAGTATGCATTTATATCTTTCATTATTTTAACTTTTAAAAATTATGTAACTAATAAATTTTAAAATTAAATTATATGATAATTAAATTAAATATAATATCAATAATTGATCAAGAAATGCAAAATTAAAATATGATTAATTAAAATTTAAAGATTTAAAATTTTCGATACCACACATATCTCTCTCTCTCTCTTTCTCTTAGCAGTCAATTACTTTCGATCTTAGTAATCAATTACTTTTGCTCATAAAACACCATATATAATCATATAGATAGATAGATAGAATGAATGTTATCATATGGATGGATTGTAAAATGGAAACAATTAATTGAAATAAAACAATGATTATATTAATTGTTGCTGCAAAATTCCCGTTCATAAACATCAAAGCTTACAATTATGCAACAATTAATTTGGTTCCAAAATAATAATAATCATAATAATATGACTGAGAATTCCCATAACATTCTCCCATTCCTTCTTCCATCTATCTATTCGTTATCATTCGTTCATTCTTTTTAATTCTCTATCATTATATTGATTATAATAGATTTTAGCTATTTAAATTACAATGTACCATTTTCAATCATACCATCTAATAAAGTAAAAAAGTAAAAAATTATCTTTATCAAGATTTAACAATTTTAGTATTTGAATTGTTGTAAAACACACTTTGATGAAATGATAATTTAGAATTAATTAATTAATTAATGGATTAAAAAGTTACCTTTCCTCAATTTACAATTTTTATATTTGAACAGTTAAAATGAGCATTTGAAGAGTTTTCATCTATTGATAATTTAATAGATGAAAACAAATTGTTTAATCATACTCCTTTAAAATTGGGATAATTGTTTAACTTATATTAATTAACTATATCCTCTTACAAACTGTTTTAGCATCGTTAGCATAATGTTACCAATCATTATCAATGTCCTATTAATCATTTGTCCATGTTTAAAGATAATTGAGATAATTATGTGGTTGCATTAATTTCATGACTAATATATTACCTATCTGCTGACAATCTTCATGCACTACCCGATCATTTATGCTTCATTTTAAATTGAATTTTCAATAATTGAAATTTTCTCGTTTGGAGCATTGAAAATTTTCGATTAACAGAAACTCAATCTTATCCCTCACTCTATGACACCTTCCAGTTATTCCATGAATTAAATCCAACCTTTCGTTGAGATTATAGAACTTTTGCAATTGACATTTGTTGGATAACTGATAGAAGGGAATTTTTTTTAATACACATATATTTGCATAAACTGTAATAACAACAAAACAAGACAAAAAATAATAATTACCGATTCATTTATAACAGGAAAAATCATGTGCTCCTATTAGTTTCATATAAATCTCAAATTTTTGCACTCATACAAATCAATTAATTAATTATTTGAGATTACCTTGCCGATTATTACGAGATTAGGAACGAAACTTTCCATTTCCAACTCAAACTCCAGTTATTTTAACAACTATCATGGAACAAGTGACCATATCAAAATAACAACATATTAAGCATTCTTCCAACTTTTAACAAAAGCATGCTAAGTACCATAACAATAAATTTAATAGACCTGCTTATTCACAACAAACTTAAATGATGAACTATAACGGAATGATCATTGCTCGCTGAAGCAAATTCCCAAATATGGTTATTTACATCACCATTGCCTAACCAGGATCCTTCTTTTGGACGAAACCTGAAAAGAAAAAATCTTCAAAGTATGACAAAATTTCCTTAGATCTACAAATAGTAATAGTTACACTTCGATTTTCATAAAATATATTTGTTCTAATTAATTCTAAGAGATGCTAATTCAATTTATTTCCCGAATTATATTTTTTTACTATAGGTTTTTGCTTTTCTTTTTTTAATAACAATAATAATAATGACACAGTACTTCAGCCTATTTATCGTTCCCGAATGAGCCAACCACCGTTTCAAGCAGTTATCATTACTATTAATGGGGTCTTGATCGAAATTCCATTTTTCAATTTCGATTTCACCGTTTTCAAAACCAACAGCCAGAATGTAATGTCTGAAATTGAACAGTATACCGCAACTTACTGTAACTACCGCAGTTTAATTACTTACATTTCCACATTTACTTATTAATTTAAGAAGACGTGTAAGTTACAATACAAAAAAAAAGCAATTGCAGTGATTTGGAAAAACAGAAAAAATATGTACTTGTTCCATAATTTTGGCATAAAATCTACTGCTGTAACAGCATGTAAATGTTTCCTTTCTGCAACAAGTTGAATGTCATTCCCATCAAAACGCCAAAGACATAACTGCAAATTTTCAAAATGATTAATTTAAAACTTGAATAATGGATTTTATCCTTAATTAGCTCGAAGTGATAATTTAGAAATGAAAAAAAGGTCATGAAATTGTTCAATATATATTACCTTCTTATCTCTTGCTCCAGTCACGAAATATTTATCATCCGGGGCCCACGCACAACACCAAATGATACGAGAATGCACTTTACTGTACTTTTCCTCCGACGTCAATTGAAGTTTCCAGTCAAAAGGATCTGAAGGAAGTTACAGTCAAACTTTTCGGATTTCGAAGTTTCACTTTAATAATCTTTTAACAAAATTCACATAACTGAATAATAACAACTATGCATTTGTACAAAATACTGATAACATAGTATCAAAAAGATTGATGATTGTTAAAAACTGCCATCATCAAAAGATTGATCAGTTTTTTGCCTTATTCAAGTATCTGAATTTCATCACTTATTCCTAACTTGGACTTAGAAATAAATACGGTAATTTGATAGAATAAGTTATCTATTACCTTGCGAAGAGCAAACAGAAATAGCAAAAGTTCTATCGCGGGAAACAGAAAGAAGAAATGAATCATTATTTGAGAAAGCCAACTGTGCAACAGTAAGCTTATGACATTGCAGTTCGCATTGACGCCTGCATTCCTTACTGTCCCATATGATGATGACCGCGTTTTCAGCACGACTTGCCTAAAGTAGCTGTAATTGGCCCCTATCTTGAAATCCGACAAATTTGGAAATTTCAACAAAACCGTTTCTTTGAAAGTTCAAATCCAAAACAAAGTAGGTAGAATTTATATTACGAAAACTTATTTACTCTCCACAAATTACCAAAAACTGCTAGAATTCCTACTAATGTTTGTTCAAATATTTGAAGGAAATCACCAACCTTGCATGAACTTGCAATAAGAGTACCAGAATGATTTGATGCAACCGTAAATAATTCAAATCCGTGGCCGTATAATTTTTGAATTTCTGGCCATAGTGTATCTTGCATTAAGCATTCCTCAACAGGCACTCCTGAACCTCGGTATTAAATACTTAAATAATTTGCTCATAAAATAGGTTCCTATTACTAAAACATCAATTCACAGAAACAATACAGAGAGTTTTAAAGGAATTTGTAATAAAAACTATTGATAAAACTAATCTTTCGAATAAAAATTAACACTAACCTTCATCGCAATTCATTGCATTTCCAACTGCCAAATTTTCTTTACCTCGAATATTTACATTGTCGATAATCTTATTTGATAAACCCAGCGCTGGAATGGCTGCACTGTATCCAGCAATTTGAGTGGGGTCCGGAAATAACTGTAAATTTTTCAATAAATGAAATGACTTGTGCAGAATTTTACCCAATTTCGATTAGTATTTGCTTCCAAACTTTAAGAGAAAGGTTCAAAACTAAAATTTAAATTGGAGAAGTGCAACTAGTTCCAGCATACTATGAATCCCATAATTCAAAAAAAACACCTGGCAATCATACTTCGAAACAATCTTTAGCCTTTCGACGAAATTACGTGGCGCAGCGAAAACACGAAGAATTTTCTCGTCGGCACCCGAGACAAAGCGACTACTGAAACCCAGTAAATGCAATCAAGAAAAAAAATTATTTTACAAATTTTCATAACTTGAAAAAACTATTTTACAAATTTTCATGACTTGAAATCCAATGACGTGCAAATATATACCTTGAAATAGATGCGATGGTTGTCAAATCATAACCGTGCACCTGTGGCCGTGCAATCTCGCTTATTACACCCTACAAACTCTGAATTATTTTTCTTGTACCTTTTCCGTCTTAATCAAGGATTTCATAATTTTATTTTAATAGAAAAAATTCCAAAAAAATCTCAGAAAAGCTCGGGACAAAATGTTCAAGATTCTTTAAGTATAACACTGGGCCCTCCCCGAAGCAATATTCAAAAATATCAATTCAAAATGAACAATGATTATGATTATGATTATGATTATCTGTTTGTGATTACTAAAAAACTTATATCTATCTTAATTAGAGCAAATGAACAAACATCGTTAGCAGAAGGAGCATAACACCGAGTTGTTTGATCATAAGAGCATGATAACAAATAACTTCCGGTAGGATCCCAAGTAATATCTCTAACCTGTCCAGAATGTCCACCGAAAGTTGAAACACTTTTCCAGTAGCTGCTGTCTTCCTTTAAACATATATTTAAGATTATTTCTCGAACAATTCATTGAAAATAAAAATTCTAAGTCTTCGCAAACTTACTTTTTCCACTTGCCATGAACAAAAGCCACCAAAATATGAATAAGCAAGGATTGTGTAACCATCAGGAGAAAAACAAGCTCCAAAAAAACCAACCGCCTGTCCACCAACGTCACCAACACGTACCTGAATAAATTTATTTATATTTTATGAACAATTGCAAATATAATCCAACATAGTTAAAATAGACATGATTTTAATCAAATTGCTTAAAATAGATTATAGCGAAAAATTCAGCAAATTGAACTGCCAGTTTCTCTCTATCTATTATCTATTCTTTCATCATGTCCACCATTTTCCATCCTCTTCTTAAGCATCACATACAATTATATTTAATCGATAGAGTAATAACTCTGAACTTAAGAAATCAATCTTAAATATAAAATTAACATACAGAATCGAACCATAATCCAGAAGCAATTTCGGATGGTTCCCATATGATTATTGTTTTATCATTTGATGCACTTAACAATTGTAACTTGCTAGAATGCCATTCCACTGAATAAATCCAATCATCATGGGCGTTTAAAACACCTTCAAGGGTGACATTTATCGTGCAAGTAGCTGAAAATAGAAATATAATATTTTTTTTTTATGCCTTTTCATTGCTCTAATTTCCTTCGCCATTAATAATTTTTTGTATCTTCACCATAATATTAATAATAATTTTAAGTTCATTTGAGCTTTCTCACTAATCAAGAATTGTTATAGTGATATAAGCCAATAAAAATAATGCAACCGTATCACTACCATTTTCACATATTGACTATACAACAACTTCATATTTGATGTCCTTCTAAGATAATATTTAATAAAAAAAATTTATAAAGAAAAAAACTTATAAAATTTATAAAATGAAAGAATTTATTGCTTTTTATAACCATCAAAAATGGAAAAACCTTTAGTATCTTCATCAAATAATTGAAATTGAGCTTGTAATTGAGAATCGCTATCAGTACATACTTCATTGTCTTGCAATAGATCAAAACGCCACAGACGGATATTTTCTTGCCCACCACTTGCTATCCAAATATCATTTTCGTACGCTGAAAAATAAAAAAAAGTTTTTTATTTTGTTTTTTAATAGGAATTGAGACAAAATGGAGGAGGATAAATACTAAATTAAATTCCGGAAAAGTAATTTATAAATGTCACTATCTTTTCCAGTTATGTCTCTCTTTCTGAAAATTTCTATAAGATTAGGAATTTTTATTACAGAAATACAATACATAATCATAAACAATAGTCCCTTGATCATATAATTACTGTTAACGATGGTTTCCCATGAAGGTAAATAAAATAAAATACATGAAAATTAGGCCTAATTTTATTTCATTGAATTTCTTTTCTCACTAAGAAAACTTACCTCGTATATCTATACTGCAAATCCAGTCAGTATGCCCTTGAAGAGTTACGGCTTTTCGTAATTGTGAAGACTGAAAAGATAAAAAACATATCAGATGTAAACATATTAAAGCTAACTAATTTAAACTAAAATATCAAAAAATTCAACAACAATGTATGAAAATGAAGAAAAACTTACAATATAAGCAAATTTGGCACAAATTACTTCAACATTACTATTTGTTGTCCCCAGAACGAACAACACATTGTCTGTAAAATTGTTTATGATCACAATAAAAAGATAATATTTGAAGATTCTTGAAAAACAGGACAAAATAATTAAACAAAAATGTACCACTTGATATTATATGAACAGCAACAGAAACAATGAAAGCTGGTTGAAATACGATTTTGTCATAGCTTTGCTTTTCTGTTCTCTCCAAAGATACTCTATCGACAGCAATCTGTTCAGCAACTAATGAACCATCAGGAATAGCATAAATCGCAATAATAATATCTCTATTCGCTTCGCTAAAAACTGAACCGGCACAACAATTCACAGGAAGTCTTGTTGCTACATTTCCTAAAATCTCAAAACTTTTACGCTTAAAAAATCAAAAACCAATTGAAGATGCTAATTATTAATAATGAAAAAACGCCGTAATCATCTTGAATCAAAATTGTAAACAAAAGTTTAAAAAAGAAATTCATGCTATACCAATATCATTAACTAGCTTCGCAACAACTGTTCTGTCTGATATTCGTACTGCCCATAAACGAGCAGTTCCATCTGCCGCTCCTGTTATGAGATAATCCAAACCAAAAGCTAAAAATCCTACATTCGTATGAATCAAAAAAGCTAAAAATTCTTTATTCGTATCAATAAAATATTTAATGGATTCAACACATTTCCATAAAAAATGGAAATTCATTAATCAATAAATGAATCAAAAAACATCATAAATGTAGCTGCTTGATATTCGAATTTTTGAATAATATATTTACATTTTAGACTCGGAAATGAGTTCAATTCTAGAAAATAATGGAATTTAAACCAAACCTATCAACAATTCAAGCATTTCTTAATTAATAATTTAAATAAAATCTTTGTTTTGCAAGCAAAAAAAAGAATATTTCCCATATAGTAAAATGACTTACCATTACAATGATACCATGAAACAAATTTCAAACAAGTTATTGGAAAATCATGCGCCTTCACTGCATTTTCTACAGCTATACATCGATTATTTTGCTGAAAAGAATAAATTTTTCTTTTTTAGTAATCATTAATTTAAAAAACAAATCAGCTATGCTATTATCAAAATGGATTAAATAGAAAGTATTGAAGATGCTGAACAAAAGTGATATTAGCAAAATATTGCTCAAAGACTTTTTATGGCTCTATTAGTGAGCTAAGATTTATCCAGAGATTATTGACTTAAAATTTCAGGTTACAATAACACCAAAAATCTTCCATGACAGCCATAAAACTTAATCATAAGCTAGAACAATTATCAAAGTGAGAATATGCCCCATTATTAATGATAATTTATAAAAACAGCATAACTATTAGCTTTTAAAAGATTTATCTGAAGTCATTACTGTTTAAACAGATATGCCTTCCTGAATCTATTAGTGAATTAATTAGTGTCTAGTTCTTGAACCGCGAATTATCTCCCAGTGCTAGCAGAGATCGATATAAAACGCAAAAAGAGAACAATTTAGCAAATATATTTCAAGGCAGTGGAGAAATCTCAGGATAAATCGACTTTTTGTCAAATCAAAACAAATATGGAAAAGGTGACAAAAACATATGATATCATTACCTTTGGAACCACAAAACAAACACTTCCCGCAGAAGCAAATGCTACCACATTGATAACTTTAGACCATGTCAAACACTTAGTATGTCTTTGGCACCCTCTGCCCATAAAAGTTATGCCAATCTTGCATTCTGCCACCTCAACTGTACCCGTTTCCAGCGAGCACATATTTTTCGGATCACAACACAATACGGCTGCACAATTCTTCCTATCCAATACATAGATACAGATACATCTCTCTTTCGAGCATTATTTCTGACCATAATGGCGAAAAATTGCTAACTTTCGACCATGTCAAATACTTACAATGTTTTTGGCACTCTTCTTATCCCTCTGTATCTATCATGATTATACCTCTACTTCGATTCCACTCTACATCTAAATATGAACTCTCCTACAACTATTCTCCTCTCCTATTTGTTGTGTCCCGACGCCATTATTTCACCCTTTCTAAATCATAGTTATGAAAACCTCATATGATAACTTGACTAGAGTTAATCAGATGCGGATGGCCTGAATTAGCAAAGAAAAAACTCTCCTTTTCAAGATAAAAAAAGGAAAACGAAACATGGGAAGGATCACTGTATGTGTGCGTGTAACAATAACAAAGTGCGACTAAATTTCAAAAAACACGATTTATTTCCAGAAATTTCATTGTCAAAACAAAATTGTTATAATAATAATGTTAACGAAGACGACGGGCTTCCCTTTCTGCTTCCAATAATGTCAGAATATCGCCCTCTCGAACTGGTCCTTTTACGTTACGGATAATTGAGCGATTTGAAGGATCATCGATAAAGTCAACAAGCACCTGCAACTTATATTATTTATCTTCACATTAGTAAATTAATAAATAACATTAGATTAAATTCATATCAGTACACAGCGAATAATGTTAAGATGTTCTAGATTTCACGAAAATATTAATGATCAAATATTGATAAAAAGGCAGGCAAACAATATTGCATAAAGGATCAGAGAAGGGAAATATTAAGTGAACACATCTTCTATTTGAAATTACTCTACCAAAATACAATGCTTCCAAAAAAAAAACTGCATGAAGTATGTCTAGTAAGCCGTTACAATATTACCTTATAGTTTGAAAAACTTAGCGAGTAAAGTGTAACACAAGGCATTTCACAACTAAAATGCCCAGTCTGAGAACTTGGCATGGAACTTAATATCTCTCCTGCACTTCTATCTCAATTCCCACCGTCTAGTTCTTTGTATTCTACCTTTATTCTACCCAATCCTTGATACTCTACACAACGTACCCCTCAATTTTTATTATTTGATACATCATCTCTTACATCCTCCAAGCTTATCTTCCAATATCACTCCTTGTAGGAGTTGGATCAATGATTATTATCACTGTCATCTATTAATGAATAACAACAAGATCATCAAACCTGTGTACACTGTCCTTGTGAACCGGTACGTCCGAGAATCTTCGTCACTTTTGCTAACTTCACTGGCTTATCCATTGTATAACCAAACAAGCTAACCTATAAATATAGTTCATGCAAGCAAATAATTATAAGTAAATGAGGAAGTACAATAAACAATAGCATTAAGTAGCGCTGCTAGCAATAAATAGATTTGTAATGCTAAGGGTATATATGACCCCATCACCACGACTTCAATTCCATTTCTAACAATTCCAGCCGTCGGAAAAACTACAACATAAGCGGACCTTAACTGTAAATGGTAACAATGGCCCGTTAAACCATGAATCATAGCCAGATGCAAACAACTATCCCAACAAGCTTGTTTATTTTAATACCCACCAAACGCTGAAGCGCAACGCAAAACTAGTTTGACCTAGTTCTTGAGACAACAAAAAGCTTTAATGTTCGAGATACATCACAATGGTGACAGAAGCTGCGACTTAAAAGAAATTAATTATCTCTATTAATTTCAACCTTCCCTCACTTGTACAGGCTTCATATTATTCCATGAATGCCTTAACTTAGTTTCGCATGAATGTTGAAAATGATACATGCAAAAGTTTATACACATGGAAATACATAACAATTCTGTAAAATGATCTTATGTAATGCAAAGTTAGTGAGATCAATTCCTTATCCATCCTATGAGTCGTTATCTTCATTACTGCTTTCATCACTTTCCGATTTCAAATCCTGAAACCAATTGATTTATCTTGAGAAGTTCAAAAGGAGGTAGGAATAATTTTTAAGATTTAGATAAATAAATAATTACTGCATTCCTCCAGAAACTACGGTTAATTTCTTAAAACTACGGTTAAACTACGGTTAATTAAACGGTTAATTTCTTAAGAAACTTAACAGTCAAGTAATTTAGAAACTTAAGAATTACTTGACTCATTTAAAAAGCAAATAATTGAATGAATAATTGAATTTTGTTTCGCGTATTAACCTTAAATTTATCTCAGCGATTACAACTCACGATAATTGCCACTTCAGTCGTCGGTTATTGGATATTACGCTAAGGAATAAGCAAATGGTTAACTTAGCTTGCTTATTTTTACCTAAGTATCAGTTAAGAAATGGTTAACCTATCAACTTGGCATTACGTATGCCAATTATCAAAAAATATGAATTAACGAACCTTCTCCTCCGTGTCCTTCTTTGATTCGTTGCTACTATCAGTATCGCTAATATATTCCTTTGATTTGGGCTTTGAATGCAGTTTAACAGGCGAACTAAATTTAATTTCTAAGAAAAACTTATTAAAAACATGCAAGCACATAACACATATTCGGACATTTCCTCATTTCTACTATGTTAAAGTAATTAAATAATTAATATCTTGAGGCTCTCAAGCAAGTTACTTTTGGAAAACCTAAAAATCAAGATTTTAAAGTTTACCAATGGCGGAGCATTTGAAGTTAATAGACTCACAAACTGGCTGCCCCAATAATTTTTAAATGTAAACCTTGACAAAAAGAAGGGATTTCCATTACCTTGATTTTGGTTTCTGAACTTTTTTAGTCGATACAACTGAAGATGCAGATCCTCCATTTGCCACGTATTCTTTCATCTCACGAGCATATCTTTCTTTATCTTCTTTCGCTCTTTCTTCATATTTCTGAAGTAAAATCAAGTTTAAGTTACAGATCATTCCAAAAATTTAAATCCATAAAGCATCTCGAAAAGTATGGGACCTTTTTAATTTCTTCGTCGATTTCTTTCCACATTTTGCCAGCCCTTTGAGCTGCCTCCGTCACAGAGACTCCTTCTTTCTTAAAATTTGAGTAATTTTCACCAAACCAAATGAAATATGCCGATTGTGGCTTTTTCGGAGCATTTGGATCTTTTTTCTTTTTTTCTCGCCTGGTAGCTTTTGCAGATCTCGATGAATCCTATAAAAACTCGTTAGTCGAAACAAGTACTTCAAGGTGATTTGCCTGTTAATGCCTACTACATAGCTAAGAGATAAATAAAGAAAAATTTTTTGCATCTCTGTCCACATTGTTCATATTCTTCGCAGTGACCAACCAAGAGGCACAATATCTTTTTATTTAGTCTGAATACATAAAATGAACTTTGCGACATTACCAAACGCTGAAAAAAGAATAATTTTTACCTTCTTCTTTGGAGACTTTTTCCTTTTGTGATCACCGGAACCACTTTCCGATGATTCAGCGGCACCACTCTCGTATTCTTCATCTGGTTCACTTCCTGATTCTTCTGATGAGCTTTCTTTTCTCTTCTTTAAATCTTCTTCGAGATCATAATCATCTAAAAAATTTTGGTGAATGCTGAGATAAGTAACCTATAAAGGAATGATAAATGGATTTAAACGTTAAAAATTAGATTCATGGTTATTATCTCAGAATCATTTCCCCGAAGTTATCTGAAGCCATAACCAAAAATATATCATATATTTTTAGCGTATGAAGGGCGGTTCATAACTGAGCTACATTACAACTAACTGAAATACAATTGCAGGCAAATCTAGAATTTTTATTCCCTATTAAGAACCGAAAATTTATAAAAATAAAAGAACGGACGATCTTCACTGTCGGTATCATCGTCACTTTCTGCCACTTCTTTATTTCTTGCTTCTTGCTTCAGCGTCTCTTTGTACGGATCCAACTCCTCGTCACTATCACCAAGATTTCCTGTATACGTTGGTTTATCCTATAATGCATATCAAACTTTACAAATTTTGTCAAAATCTTGAAATGATAGCAAATTATCTGAAAAACCACAGATTTTTGCATTATCGAACTTATTCAGCAGTAACAAACCAATCGCTTCGCATTTTTGATTCTCAAATGTTTATTGTTCACGAAGTCGAACAAACGATTATATTCTTCTCTGAAATAGCACAAAAAATAAAAGCTACAGCTAAATTATAGACAAGCGACAAATTCATAAAACGTAGAAAGTTGCGAAGAAAGTCTACTAAATGACAAACTTTTCAACACTATTGAAAATCAGCAAACTGCCGCCTTTCATTTCAATTTCGAAATCAAACGAACGAGTGGACACATCGGATCGAGCAAAATTAACGCAACTTATCTACAATTTATAGCTAAAATATGGTAGCGTTGAAGGAAGCACAAAGAAGACTTTGAGAATTGCTGATAACTTATTTCCTCAAGAAAGTTCACTTCTCTGACTTCATTTAATTTCCAAAACTGGAAATAAATTTACACCAAAATTTATATAGCTCGAGAAATCTACTCAAATTAAAAAACTGTAAATACCTCTTCAAAACGAATATACATCGGTGGTTTATGAACATAAACAAATCCTTTTTCCAATGGATATAAAAAACCTGAAGCTTGCTTGTGAGCACACATTACTGCTGGAGTTCCAGAATGCCTGTATAAACATACAAATTTCCAAATAACGCAATATTCCTTCCAATGTAATAAAACTGCATAAACATAGATAATAACAAAGATAGAAGTACGCACCCAACAAAGCTCCCGGGAACAGTAATTTTCATGTCAACCATAACTCGGAATATCTTTGATACAACTTCAAACACAGTTCCACTCATTCGCTTTTCCAGTTTACCCTTGTACTGCTCTTTTAGCTGTTCACTGAAAAAATTAATAAATTCCATTCCTCCTGTTGAAAGCAAAGATATCATGTCAACAACACATTCAAATATTAGAAGACTTACGATGTAAGGCCTAAGTCCAGATCAACCTCTTCGTCTTTCGAGAATTCAAGAACCAAGAAGTGATAGCGAGTTTGACCCTGACGAATCGGCGGATTTAGGCTGATCTTAAATGCGAAAATTAATCCAAGAATAAAAGTGGAAGGTATGATTTGCTTTGGCGTGGATAAAACATTTCCTCTTGCTTGAGTAAGAAATAATATTTCTGTTTGGAAATTCAAAAAAGAGGAAAAAAGTGAAAAATTACCACAAAGTACATATGACGCCCATCTTTGTGTGGTAATAAAAATAGCCTCATTATTGTACGAATTGGAATTTTGTAATCATATGTTTTACCATGCAACGATAAATAATTTTGATAGACTTTAATGTCGTATCGACCACTGCAAAGGTTTTAATTGAAAACTTTAAAATAAGTTAAAGATTTGACTTATTTTATACATCTCATTTCATGATAATATACCTGAATCCTATCTTTCTTCAAGCTTTAAAAACAAATGAAATTGTGTTACCGAGGTGTTGTGCAGAGAATCTGCTGTAAAATCGCTACCGGTTGATCTGTTTCCGTTTCAATTCCAGCATACTGCATTACAGCGCGCCGAAATTGCTGAAAAAAAGGTATATTTTTCCGATGATCAGCAGAAATGAAAAAACAAAACAAAATAGTAAAAATCTAACTCTATCAGATATCAAGCAAGAAATTCTAAACTATTTTAAAGGGCAAATCTTAAAAACATACGAACAGATTCGACTAAATGAAACGTAAAAAAAGTGCCTCTACTGGGTCGACATCTTCATCGGCGTCTGGATCCGTTGGAATATGAAAACGCATTTCCATAAGTGATACGGGACAATCATCATTTTGATGGAATTCCAAAGTTGCTTCACTTTTTCCAGCCGTACAATTGCTTACAGTGCTAAGTGGAATTTCAAAGCACGGCTTCTCATCCACTTCAAATTCGAGCACTTGCCCTGCAATAAGTTTGAATTAAATTAAAATGTTACATCGAAAAAATTTGCTGGTTAAAATTCAGAAAAAGAGAAGCAACGAACTGAAAAAATATTTATAGCAACAGAAAAGAAAAAAAGCCCAGATGACGGGGAAACAAAATTTACCCTTTACTTCCGCTTTCCCATAATTCCAACCCTTGATACACTGTTCAACCTGATCAACACCAATATTCCATTTATCAAGAGCAAATTTCTTGATTTCTTCGAAGTCCTGTAAAACAAAAATTCAGACTATTACGAAATAGAGAAAATGTTAACAACAGTTGTCTTTTCAGACCTCAGAGTAAATATTTTCGTCATATGAAGAGTGAAACTTGCAGTAACCTTTTCAGCAAATCCACTAAAACGATGGCGAAGTCCGGAAGACAGGCGTATTCGTATAGTAGGCTTATTTCCAACCCGCATCCAATCTATTTTTTCGATTTCTGACGGGTCAATCGTTTGCAATCGGTTATTTCTTGCATTTTTGAAGTTTATTTGAGAATCGCCAAATTTAATCCGTCCATGATGCTGCAAAAAGCCACTGAGAAGGAACCAACAAATCTAACGAAATCGAAAATTTTCAATTTCTCAAACTTTCGATATTTGAATGCATTTGAGTTTTGTAAATCAAAATTATACAAATTACGGATATGGAAGGCTTCTTTAAAAATCCCACATGACTATATAATGATTTTCTTCCGTTAGCTTCAGCATTATAGTTCTTGCAGCAATATCATTCAAACGCTATGTGTAGCTGATTATATTTACTAAGACTTGGTGCAATAACTTCTTAGTTCAAGCAATCTATTCACATCGTAAGTCCTTCCAGTGCTATAATTACACAGCTCAGTTTTTATTTACTTTCTGAATCTTTGCATCATAATTGTACAGTTTCACTTTCAAATCTCCTTCATTGATACAATATTATTGTTTGCATTTTTGCCGCATTTACACAGTATTTATCCTATCCTAATAATTAGACATATCTTCCAACAATCAACACATCCGCTAAACTATAATATCACAAAAAATAATTACCATCATGCCCAAATAATCCTGATAGATATTGTTGTATTCCAGCTCTGTCATATTAAAATTTTAAAATGGATGAATTGCCAGTGAAATACTGAAAAAAAATTATACAAATTTTCATTAATCAAGTGAAAATAAAATTCTTTTTTTTCTCCTTGACGTCTATAACATGGGAAATCAAATGTTACGGAGAAGGAATTGAAAATAAGCGAAAAAGACACCACCTCAAATAACCCCTAATTCAAGATCGAAACAGAACAATCCAAGCTTTCACTATATAAAATATACGGAAAACAAAAAAAAAGTCATGTATACTCACTTTCAGAAAATTTGAGGATCAAAAACAAACAGATAAACAAAAATAATTAATTGAACAAGTAATTTGAATAATATCATAATCATTATTAATAGGTAATAGGTAAGGTATGAAAAAAATTTATACACTTAGTGATTTGACTAAATTACGGTAGATTGTCGTTAAAACATAAAAATTATCAAATAAATGCTGTGACAGGTTTTGAAAAGCAAAATAAATTAACAAGTAAATAAATAATATAAGAAAGTAGATTAAACAAATGAAATGAAAAAATTAGGCATAGTCAACAAATAATTTATTAACTATTATATAGATGAGTGCCAATAAACAAATACCTAAACAAATTAACACACAATAATGACCCCACAAATAACAGTAACAAATAATTACTGTACGAGCGTACTAACCTGTTTGGAAACTAAACAATCAAAATAATTCGTTTTATTCTCATGTTCTTTGTCATCTATACGTTCTAACATTTTCTTTTCTTCTGTACACACTAACAAACCTATACTCTCTTCTGACTTCTACACTCCTAATTTTTGTCGCTCTTCCATATCCCTTCATTCGTTATTTTTCTTTTTCTTCTTTTACACTTACTTAATTTCTCACTATCTTTTGCATTCATTTTCCAATCATTCGCTAAACTACTTTTTTCTCCCGCTTAAAAAGAATAGGAAAAAAGATAGGAAAAATTGAATGAATACAGGGATTGCGATGAAAACAGTTATCTCATGAAAAGGATGAATAGTTTAGACTCTACACTTACTCCGGTTAATTTCTCGAGATGTTTCTGCAATTAAATTTCCTGCACAGTACTTTTCCGTTTTTCGCATATCACGTTATTACAGTACTTTTCCGTACACCACGTCATGTAATACTAGATAAGTTGTATCCTGGATAATCCGTGCATCAACACTTGTTCCGTTAAAGGACATGACAGACGTGTCTCATAATAGTTGTTAGATTCTATATATACCTATAGAAAAAGATCATTGTTCCCATAAGCTACTTAACTTGAATTTCATTACAACAATAAATTTGATGATTCACGATTTCATCGAAAAAATTTTTATTATATTTATAATATTTTTATTTGACATATATGAAGGAGTCATGAATTATGGTACCATTTCTCTTTTTCATGGAACTGAAAGATATGTTTGCAATTATTTTTTCTTTTGACTAGAAATCGATAAAAATATGCATTAATAGAAACAATTAATGTACAATCAATATGATTTTATTCAATGGTATGGTTATATAAATATTATGCAGTAAGTCATCTGCTAGCGAACTGTTTCTGAAATCTGTCAGAAACCCATGAAAAGAAAGAATGAAGAAAAATGAACAGGCAGGCAAACTTATCTAGGACAAAACTTCCTATGATAAGTGATACAAAATTTCCTAAGATAAGTGATAAAGTGTAAAGAAAGCAAAGGAATTATGGAGAGAGATTCCCTAGTTACATTGACAGACTCCCTAGTTCTACAAAATAAGTCATTCTTTCAGTTATTCTCCACAAGGAATTACATTTATACACTATAATCTGTGGGTTGTACTACCGAAATCACAAAATGTGCTATGTAAACTAAAGATCATATGTGACCGCTTCATGAGCAAAAAACTGATGAAACAATAGCTGACATTTACATCACGACGTATTTTCAAGAGTTACAGTTTCATATTTCAGTTAAAAATTGAACGACTTCAAATTATTAAGTTCTTGAAATTCATTCAAAACAACTACATACATATTATTTAATGACCACAGAAATCCCTAAGACTATACATTGAAAACAATGAAATGACAGCTTTAAATGTTCCATCAACTCCATTCTGCTGCTATGAAATTATCAAAGTATATAGCAGTCTTTCTTCAATGTTAGTTTGGCAAATATATCATTTCAAAGTTGACCATACGTTAGTGCTTAAACAAGCAAATCCTCCTATCGTATGTTTTTCAACAGATATCTTTAAATACTTCTCTTCCTTTAAATATTTGATGGAATTTCATTAAATTTTCGCGCAAAGCAAAAACGTATAAGATATAATTTGCATGATGCAGTTTCCGCCATTTTCCAACGAGTAAAAGCTGCTTGAAATCTCAACTATGACCATTTTGCGTGGCTTTTTCTTGATTTTTTTCACCGGTATTTACTTCTGGAGACTGAATTGGCACACCATAAATGTTGTGCAGATCGCGTGCTGCATCACCCGTATCACCCATTGCTAAAATTCCTGATGCAAATCCATCACGTAGCTCCGTTAATCGTCTGTCCACCTGAAAAGCAACAAAACGTAGAAATATATAACTCCAAAATATTCAGAAATAAGCCATCTCTCTCAGGATCATGAATTCCGGTACTACCAAGAAAATTTCGAATTCTCAGATCACTCCGAAATTCATCTGCAATAAGTTTATTCAATATGTAATAAATTTGTAAGAATTTAAGATAGCCTTAAGTTCATCGTTTCCTTAATTTTCAATAAAAAGGCAACCACCATAATTTCAAGGAGATAATAACACTTCTATCATTCTATTCAATATAAAATATCGAGTTAACTTCTCCTTTACTATCAAAAAAGATCTAAAATCTAGATCCAAAATTCTTACTATTGATAACATTTCATCAAACTGTTCCGGTGTTGGTTCGTGTTCTGAAGTAGAAGGTATACCGGAAACCGGCTTTCGCTCCAAACTCTGATAAAAACGAAAAAAGATATATCGGAAAAAAATAGAAAAATTCTATTAGGAACAGAGTAGTTCACATGAGTCTCCTTCAAAAACTTGGAAAGTAAAAAATTGGAACTGTTATGATATGATAACAAACCAAACATTCATATATCATTGGTTTGAAGGTTAAACAAAGATGAAGTGAAGTTGCAAAAAGACATACAAGGACATCGTTCATGAAATCATCCCCGAATGGATCAAGGCCAAATTTATCTTTCTCTTTTTTCTTTCCTACTACTGTTTTTTTCCTTTCGTCTGCTCGTGGATCGAATTCATCATCGAACAAATCTTCCATTTTATCCAATTGCAAATTTTCTAAACGTCTCCCAACCTGAACTTTTTGAATTATTTCTTGTGATGAATGATATTTGAAATTGTAAAATATTAGGAAAGATGAATAATAATGTCATTAACTCGTACGGCTATTTTTTGCTTTAAAACTTGAGTATGTATGGTTTTAAAATCCCTCGTTCAGAATGGTCTTGTAAAAATGATGCGTATCGCCGTAACAAAATACAATCTGATGTAACAAAACGTCATTAAGAAGTAATGATTTAAGATGCAAAAATCAAATAATTTTGAAGATAATTAAACAACAAAAGTTATTCATCAGTCAATGGTATCTTCATGAAGTAAAATAGTTCATTTATAAGACAAAACCCGGAACTATTTCTTTAATCCAATAATTTATACTGAAATTATTCGGTCCAACCCAAACAACTTTATTGAATGAGATAATGCATCCCAACGCTACTGCTAAAAACAGTAGAAAGAATGAGAGAGAACGAATTCCTTGCAGAAAAACATCATTTTCCTCTTATATCCAAACAATTAATGGTAGAAATACTACTTAATGAAGCTGCTGAGAAAAGCAAAGTGAAAGGAAAGAGAAACGATGTGGTATAATTTTTGTCAACAATATAAAGCCCAAGCTTCACTGAGATGCTTTTTTGATGATGGTAGACCAAATCAAAAAGAGTCACAGTGTCAAACACTTCGTCTAATCAGGGTTTTAAAATTGGAGAAGAATCAGCTAGGATCGAACCTGTGGGAAATTTGTAGTGGGATCGCTTGCGTTCACAACATTCGAATGATCACTTGTATTCATAGCGTTTGTATGATGTCTCCGTGGGATAGCTGGTGGTGGGACAATTGCCGGTATTGTATCGTTCATTAAAGTTGATGTAATTCCCGGAGGTGGCTCACGAGGCATCGGTGAAGTTGGTAGAGATGGCACAGAATCCTCCTAACAACTAACTGAGTTAATCAAACGCATTCATGCTAAATTTCGAAAAAGATTTAAAAAAGAACTTTGAACAAATTCTTTCTGATACAACTCCTCTACGAAGCTAATGAAACGCGTACTGAAGATGAACAAAGAACCTTATGATTTTGTTGTGCATAAAGCTTCTCCTTAAGCTCATTATTTTCCTGTTCCAGCTCTACTATTCGCTTCCTTAGCATAATCAACTGTTTTTTATTCTCCAAATCTCGGCCATTTCTTTCCAAAAATTTCTGAAAAGCGCAAAAATATACAAAAGGGAAATGTGTATCAATATATTTGTTAGACGATATGTTACAGCTAAAACACTTTAAAGTTTACGATTTGTCCAAAGTATTAACTAATATTCGTTACCATACCTTATGGATCACTTAAAGCTTGCAATAACTTCCTTTAACCCATAATGCAGTGCGTCCTATTAAATAATTGACAAGTCACTCATTCGTACTCCTCAACGCCCAATTAAAATTATTGAATAATTTTACCTGATATGCAAGATCAAAAGCTTCTCCAACGGTGAGAGTTATCTGCTCTGCTAATTTCTCACTTAAAAAGACGAAACAATCATGTCTAGTAGAGGATTCCGCCTTCGCAATAAATGAAAAAACCCTCTTATCCTGCAATATGGATCATTAATTTCTGTTTCGTGAAGAGGAAGAAACAAAATCATTGCCTATTGCAGTAAATGCAGTAATATCAAATGCCAACACCGATTATTCCCCCATTAAATTGAGAATGGCTTATCGATGGCAGCTATTTTTTTGAAGCAAAACTACTCATGCATAAATCACGATCAATTTCCGACAACTACTTCGTCAACATGCAAGGATCAAAAATAAGATTATATAAAAAAGACCTGCTTGTCATCGGCACAAAAGGAGATTCGGTGAAGGGGGTATTTGAATAAAATCATTTTTGTTTTTGTTTCTATAACTGTTAAGCCATCCACATTGATTTGCAAATCCACTTTCTTAAGCTTTGCTCCCGAATGTCCCGTAACTCCTCGACTTACCTGAATCACTTTGAGAACGTTAACAAAGGTACAAGATACAATATTAGGATTACCCTAAATTTGCTCATTCCAACAATAATAGTTTCCACTATATTTTCTTTTGTCTGACTCTCATGAAAACAATGGTTTTCCTTAAATCCAAGTTATGATCGAAAAAGCGAAATTGAAACATGTTACAAATGGAGTTCAGTAAATAACATTAGTTATAAAACCTAAAACAAATACTCCCCATGATTTCCACTGCTTTCTGAAAATGGTTCTGAAGGACTGAAAAACTTAAAGCGTCCTCAAAAGCATCGAACAACAAAAGAGAACTGAAGGTTTACAGAAAAACTATTACTTGCAGTTGAAATCGTATAGCATGAATAGCATCTCGAATGACATGTGTTCCTTTTGGTTCTGATACTTCCGCAAAACCAAGCATTTTTACGGAATATTCAACACGACCATTTAATAATACATCTGCAATAGTAGAACTTACCTTACGGAATATTTTAAGTGAAATTAGAAAGCTAAATAATCCTAGAAAATCTCATCAAATTGCAAATCAGTAAACGGCAAACCAGGTGGATGTATCCATTTGGACGAAGTACCACCAGAATATCGAACTCCGTTTGTATGATTCGATGAACTAGCAATGCTAAATGATTGCGAAGCAAGGGAACGTTTTATCGTATTATAAATTTCCTTTCCCTTTGAAGTCATTTAATACCTACAAATACAATTTGCTAATCAAGTACAACTTGTATATCAACAAAAGAAAATAATCGGCATAAACGATGACAATTGATAAGAGTGAACACCTCAACGAAAATCAAAATGTACTAAAATGCCATAACAAAAAAGAATTCATCGAAAAATTTATGAAATAAATTTCAATAGGATAATTAATACTAGAATTACTTAAGAAAACACTGAACTGCTTTCTAGAGCAATCAGTACATCATCTGTTATTAACTTTGTGATATATCAGACAGATGTCAAAAAGACATGGATAAAGCTGGGTTTCTCCAGCGTAAAAATAAATATCCAAAAAAGGGGACGAAAAGCTGTTCAGAAAGAAATGAAACGGATGAAATCAAATGTTGAGAAATCCTATTAACACTTAGCATCAAATTATCAAAGCTCTATAATCTTATTTACATTTGTGCAAAGCTAAAAAAAAATTTGACAGCGTAACGCAGAGAGCAAGGATCAATTAAATGCACAAACTGTAAAACACGTTGAGCTGCAATTCCCATGCATCAATAATAATGGTATATGTAAAGAGACATCAATTAACACATAAAAGGATTATGGATGATTTCAGAGTGACCCTACTACTAACCATAACTCTTAATCTGCTATTTATTATAATTATTAAAATAGTTTAGTGTCTTAAAATTATTTGATTTATAACAAAATTGTTTATTTATTTTCATTATTTTAGGAATTACTTTTGAAATTAAACCGATAATTCAAATTGCATCTTAATTACCTTATCTTTATAGTTTCACTCCAGAAAAAAGTATCACCTTCTATTATTAAAGTATTATTCTTGCCTAACAAAAAAACTAAACACACACATAAATCCAACCTAAATTCGTTAACAGAACCAAAAAGAGATGCCTCGATTTTGATATGACCTTCATTTTCTAGAAAATGATATTTATCAATAATCATCACCTTAACACAAGCAAACTTATCATTTATCAATCCAAAAAAACGACTGTATCTTATTTAATTAATCATCTATTATTTAATCACTATCTTATTTAATCAAGATCGCATTAATTCACTTCACTACTATTCGTCACATTCACGGCCTTACAATATCTATTATTGTCAGTCATCAACCTCCTTCTTAATTCTAGATCAAGATTTTGCCATATGAAAATACATGTTATTGAGAAATTACTCATCTGAGTCATCATTTTTTTTTTCATCTTATTTAATAAGTAAACAATACCATATGTTTTATAACAAACACATTATTTAAACATACCCTCCTCCTCACAAATATTTTAACTATGTTCAACGTTCTCCATCCATTGCCTTATTTACCTAATATTTCCAATGCTACCATATGTTATATAGCAAACATCGATACACACATAGAGAAATATATATATTTTCCATTCTCCCTTTTTCCCACCTCTTCATCAATTTTTCTTCTCTCTCCCCGAACCTGTCTCCTCTCTAATAACATTTCCAAACTGAACTACCTACCATGTCACATTTTCCATTCTCTTCACTCTTTTCTGCCACGATATGGCATACCCAGCCGATTAAATGTTATTGTTCCTTATGATTTGCGAATAATTCGACCATTCAAGAACATATGACCAAAAGGATAAGAGCATGGAAGATAAACCATATTGGGACAAACATGTCAACACTCATCTCACCGTCCGCATGCATCTCTTTTCTCTTCCCACACTGCCACGACTGCAACCATCAGTACTTGTTTTTGTTGCAGGTCATAGATATTTACAAACATTTTATAAATGCGTAAATAAACAAGTAGATGAAATAATTTAATAAGCTACTTAATCGATTTGCATTAAACCCTAATTATAGCAAGCGAAATAATGAGCAAGTAACTTAAAGGGTAAAATATTGTATCCTTTCAAATAGATTATACCTATTTAAACAAACGATAATATTTTTAGTTCTTTACATTTTAAGAGCTTGCTTCACTATCTACTACCCCATGCTTCTTTATTCCGCATTAAAAATTTTTATATGCGCACGCTACAAAATCACAGTTATATAAAAAACTTAGGACACAAACTGGAAGAAGTAGGAAGGTTAGAAAAGAGAGATGAATTCTTTAAGCTATAGATCATAATCACTGATCTAAACTATTAAGTGTTGCCTGCAATGATACAAAGATTGTCTGACAACAAATTACAAATAAGAAGTAAAAAAATTGCTGGATGATGCAGCAGCACACCTTCCATAGGCATATATTGGAAGCGAAAAGAGGGCAAATCAATCAACAGTAGTACCCCATCATCTTCAATACCACTTCGACAAAATTCATTTGACCGTACCATTTACCATTTGCAATAGGTCAGTAGTTCCGTTTCAAAAAAAATCCAAAATGAATTCAAAATTACAAGATTAAAGTTCGTTCAAGCAAGCAAGTCTTGAAATTATATCTTTGTAATAAGGAATAAAGGAAATAAAACAAAAAACATTTTAAATTTGCAACGAACAATCAATCTAACAACAATTTTCATCTTTGGAACACTAAAATACATTGTTGTTGAAATTATTCAATGGTATTTTTTTTTGCTTTATATTTCGACAATATATTTCGATTCTAATATATGAAAGGAACATTAAAACGCATTCTGGTAAACACTAAAATCAATCTACTCCGATAGAGAAAAAAACGAGGGTGGAAAAGAAATCATAAGTTAATATGTTCTGATCATGACAGGAAATGAATGTTACTGCAGACTGAAAATTTCCGAACCCATGATAATATAGAACTAAGCTAACCTACCAGGGCAGAATATATGACGATGAGACAAATTTGACACGTTGCCTAGAAAATTTGGCCATTCAGTATATATGTTCCCCGAGAGTGATGCAAAAATGCAGACTAAATAAACTCCGAACTATAAGAAAAAGAAAAAAGTTGGTGTACCATAGATCACTAAAGCCACCTGCTAATCTGAGATTATTAATAGTTCCAAAAAATTGAAAAATGAGAAAGAACAATCATTTAAATATCAAAGAGACATCAAAAAACGACCAAAGTCTAGGTTTTTATTGTATAATCATACAATAGCACCAATTTTTGTCTTGAAAATGAATGAATCTAATAGGATGATGTCATTGTATAATCTAAAGACTAGCACCGATGAACCAACGCAATGCCATTCAATTTAAAAGCCTAATATGTGATGCATTTTACAAATATTATTATATTGTAGTGCTATCAGATATTTTAGTGAAATTTCATGCCATTTCAGGCTTCAACTTCTCATCCTTTTCCCGTATCGTATCTTTCCCAGGTAAATAACCAATTGTTTTGAATTATTTTTTCGAACTTGATAGCTGTGAACTACTTCATTTTGACAAAAAAAAAAATTATGAAAATTTAAATTTGAACAATTGTTGATTCTTCCTTTCGAAGATTATGTCAAATAAATGATTTCTTAAATGTAGCAGCTGAAAAGGGAGGAATGAAATGTTCGATAACACAGTAAAAGAGGAAAACTAATTATACGGCATTTAACAAATGACAGAATGTTCGAAACACAGTTGCTTAAGCCAATTTCCTTACCATCATTCAATCAGTGGCAGACCTCACTTTTTCACATCCAATAGTTCTGTTAAAATCAGTTCTCTTTCTCACCCCTGAATCCAGAATCTCATCTAAACTTCGTTTCCTTTAACTTTATTAAATTTCTTGCTAGTAGATGTCCCAGAAGATATACTAAATTATTTCGTAAATTTCGACTTTGTATGAGCGAATTACTATAATTAATGCCAAAATAATTTTAATCTTCCCTGACTTTACTGAATGTGATTGAATGGAGCTGCATTTAAAAATATATATTGAAAACAACGGCAAACGATAAACGACAAACAGTCATTTCAACTTCCATAAACATTAAACAAAACTAGATTACTTAAAAAGTAATCCAAATCTTACATACTGAAAATTATGTCACTGCTGAATATCCTGGTACTAGTACCATTACTACTACTGCTACTAATGGATGAACATCCGTTAGCGCAAAAAGCTATCCCTGATGATATACGTAAAAGGGTACGTGAAGCGCACACATTTGATGAACTGCTATCCGCGACACAAGTGTTGTATGCACCGTATTTACTTGGAAATAAAGACGAACCAACCTTCAAGGTTCACAAAGAACTACAACATCCTTCTGCAGTACGATCTTACACGAACAGCATGCAGAAGGTTAAGCTATACACAGCTTCTAAATTTCATCCATCAAACATTACAAGAAAATCCGATTTTCATCCAGATATCGATGGTTTGTTCATTTTTGCATATTTAATTCTCCTCTTCATTAAAATCTGAAAAAATTAAATTTGATAGATCAGTAGAAAATCCAACAATCGATGATTTAAAAGAACAATATTATTGTCATTTATATTTAGTTAATTATAATGCAATAGTGACAATAACAACAAACAGTTATGATAACGCAGCAATAATACTGATAAAAATAAAGCACTAAAAGCAACAGTAACAGTGATAGTAATAATAGCCAATAATAATAAATAACAATAATCATCTCATGGTAAAACCTTTCGCAAAAAATTTTCGTCGTGAAATTTCCAAAATTTGATCCGAAACATCTGATTTACCTTGCAAAGCAATATGTTTGATCGCAATAGTTCATCCAAAAAGTAATTATTTGCATTATCTTACAAATTTTAATTGTTGTCTTTTAAACAGTCATTCCATTAGCTTTTACATTTAAATTCTTCATACCTCCTGCATATATATTGTCAAAAAAATAAATGAAAGGTTGCAAATTGCAAATATATTAGCGAAAATTTTGCCAAATAACAAGACTTATAACTAAAAATCGATAAATCTGGGATATCTAATTTACTAGGAGGAAGAAAATAAGCAAACTCATTAAATATTAATATGTCGAATGATTCAATTGTTAACTTAATTTTTCTTTCGAAATAAATTATAAAAATGGTTAGAGTAGTGAAATTATTACAATTAAAATAATCTATGATTTAGCTAATGCAAAGAAAAGCTTAGAAATACTACGCACGATTCGACAAGGCACAGATATATGTGAGTTGCAAAAGGTTTGTATTCCTGTAGTACTGGAAAATCCTGATCCCGGGTTATTGACATTCCCACGATGCCATGAAGTAACACAATGTGTTGGATCATGTTGCGAATTCACCGAACGTTGCCATCCAACCAGTACTGAATATATTCAACAGCCGGTAATATTTCTGAAATATGCAATTTCATTATTCCTTTTTTTGCTCCTTTCATTTCATATCAATATGACATAAATCCGTTTCTAATCAACGCACATAACAATTAGCAGCATTTTCGGTTTACTCGTAATTTCAAGAACTAATTATTGCACCGATCCATCCATCTATTTGTCTATCTGTTCAACAATATTAACCGTTAGTTTATGTCTATCACTAAGAAGTATTGCAAGTAACGCTATCTATTGCTATCATTAAGTAAATTTATTTCAGTAGGAAAAATCGTTAATAGGATCTATTAACATGAAACATGCAGATAATAGTAACATTAATTCAACGCATAAATTATGGAAATTTCAAATAAGCTAAAAATAGCACTATTCTTAATAATAGAATTAAATAGCACAAAGTCAAAAAAACCAATTAAAGGAAACAAACTGATGATTTTCTTACTGGTTTTATCATTTCACCAACTTCTTGGTTTGAGTATTAATGCATGATTTTGCTTCATTTATAGTGATACAAGTAGAGTTACTATAAACAAACTTGATATACAATGTACATGACGGATCAATTTTCGACAATTTGATGTATTTTCAGCACTTTTACGCTGTATATATGCGACAACTATAATTTTTGGTACTTAATATATGCTTGATAACTTATTTTTGGTAGTTAACCCGCTTCTAACTAATAATTTACAACTCATTCATTTCACGTTCAGCAAAATTTGTTGGGCAATATTACGGCAAAAAAGGGCTAAGATGAATATTATCATTTCTCATGCAAATAAGTTTTACAAATAAGAAAATATGCAAATTTGATGCGTACTGTTCGCTCTTTTCATTTAATTATGTGACAACTTTTGCAGATAGTTGAAATGCTGTATTCTGGCAATAATCTATTTATAATCAATCAAACACGAAGTATAACAATCGAACAACATACTGCTTGCAGTTGCCAAGTATGCACCAAGTTTGGTGCAGCTATTCAATGCCCGCGGAAGAAAATTGTCGGTCCGAACTGTCACTGCGAATGCAAAAATAGACAAGAGAAAAAGAATTGTCAAGGTTTTCAATGTTTAAAAAAAATCAATTCAAACATTTCCATTATAATTAAATGGATGTACTTTAATTCCTTCATTCCATTGGTCGGATGACTGCTTTGTCGGATGATAGATAATTAATTTCTTTTCGACAGGTTAGCCTGACTTCAATTTCTCATTTTCTTAAATCGAAGGGAAACCTTAATACTCCTTTCAATCTGACGCAAAAACTTCGCTTGCTCACACCATTCAAGTACACAGATTGCAAATGTATATCTTAATCGAATATACAGACTTTTTTCTTAATCGTATGCATGAATCCCTATTACTTCTTCCCAGATAAATCAATTTCAATATATGACATTTTTCAATCGTATAGATTTTAAGCCCTCGTTCCAGTAAAATAGAGCCTTCAAATATTTGAATTTGATTTTGAGATTTCTCACTTAACGCTAAATGAAAAAGTCCATTAGTTTATTTGTTCTCCTTAACTTTCTAAAATCAAACGTTCTTGTTTTTTTCTCAGAAATAAGCAAAAAATATTTTGTACAATTTAAAAATTTCAAAAGTTAGAAAAAGCGTTATATTAAAGATCCGAACAAAGTGTGGAATAACGAAACGTGTACCTGCAGCTGTGTCACGAAGAAATGCAACGGTGGAAGTATTTTGGATGCACATACATGCTTATGCTATCATCCAGGCAATAATCAAAGTTATGGGGAAAAGGATGCTTCCGGTAGTTTCCAGTCGGATACATTTAGACTTCGAAGGCTTCGTCTAGCTCGAAGAAGGATGCCCACGAAAAATATCCTGTGAACATTTATAATTGCAGCATTCATTGTGAAACTAATAATATGCTGCATGAAATCCCGAAACATCCGAACAGTTTAACATTAGAAACGTTCATCTGTGAAAAAAATGTCTGCGAAGCAATAAAGAACATATAGAAAGGGTTGAGTGCATATGGCAGAGGAAAAAGTGAATTTCCTAATGTTCTGAAACAAACTTTTTGAAATTTCTGTGAACACTGTTCCATGACGTCTTTAATGACCTTTGTGCTGATTATTCCTCAATGTCATACCACAAATAGTCCGATTTGTTAACCTATGGTACTTCATATTATATTGATGCCCCAATTCGCCATACACCTTTCCAAAGTATTGGAAGCCTCTGGAAGCTACAACCATGTTCAAACTATATTCAATAAAGCTACGTCCGGCAAATCTCAAAACCCTCAACCAAGATTCACAAAGACATTATTATTGTTAATAAGTGATGCAAAAACATCTCTTCCTCAAAACATATATACAAATAAGCATATATACATGTAGGCCTATTAACTCTACTAGTTCTACCAGACATCATCATCTTATAGCTGTACCCGCGAGCTCTCGGGAGAAGCAAAAATTACGAGAAACCAGATACTCCTTTGTGACGGCACTGTTCTGAAAATTCCTTATCCCAAGTGTGTGCTTCAAGATTAAGAGACTAATTGGTTTGGGAAGTTTGGAACATTTCCTCGACAGAATTTTTTTCATTATAAGTTTAATTGTGCGATTAATTGTTTCACACTTTATGATTTCCTTAATAAATTTCAGGTATATTTCGAAATATATTAAGTTAACAGAAAGTGTAATGGATAACCAGTAAAAATTAGGTTATATCACGAAGTGAGGAAAGATATACTTTGCTTCAAACGCAGACGTAAAGTATAATCAATTGCTTGAACATCAACGCGAAATAAACGTGCTGATGTAAAATGAAAAATTACGAAAAGTTAGAGAAAATTGGAGAAGGTTTGCTTTATTTATTTAGCTCTCTGTTTTGTGTGACTGCTTTAGAGCGGAATTTGGAATTTTCCTTATTATGTTTGAGGATAATAATTCAGAGTTTTAATTTAAAATTCCCACATTTGCTAGCCTATCAGATAATTAAGTAAAATTAAATAAAGTTTGAGAATTAAATTCACAAACCAAATTTTATTTTCAAATTTATTGTTGTGAAGTTGCCTTTACAATTCGCGTTATCTATCAATTTCAGGGCAAAGTCCAGAAATTTTGATAAATGTTCCGAATTTTTGAGATGTTATCTTGAAATTTATTAACGTACGAAGCCATCTCTTACTTTCTAACCCAACTATTTCAAACATAATTTTCATAATTTTGAAGAGTGTCAAAATATTAAATGGAAATTTAAAAAATTTCGCAATTACAGAACTCTTGCGATTTGTTAAAACTATTGTAAATGCATAATTGTTGTTTAACTTATTTAATATTTTAGGCACGTATGGAACTGTTTTTAAAGCCAAGAATTGTGATACTCAAGAGATTGTGGCGATGAAATGTGTACGTTTAGATGATGATGATGAGGTCCATTTTCTTCTTGTTTATTCTTGCTTCCTAACTAGCAGAAAAAAATTGGGAATATCTGAATGTAGTATGTTAGTCGTATATGGATCGATATTCCAAACCAAATAGATGACGATTCTTATTTTTTGTAGTTTGGTAGTATTTATAAGATTGGTACATACAGCTAAATGTTTAGATCATAACTGAATTTATGGGATTCATCTAAGTATATTATAATATTCAGGTCTATCTGAAAACATCTTTAAGGGTGTTCCAAGTTCAGCATTGCGCGAAATATGTTTACTGAAAGAGCTTAAACATGAGAATATCGTGCGATTATATGATGTTGTCCACAGTGAGCGTAAGCTTACTTTAGTTTTTGAATATTGTGATCAAGATTTAAAAAAGTATTTCGATTCATGCAATGGTGAAATCGATCAACAGGTAATATTTATCATTCTGTTGCTTATTTGCGAACTGTTCAAACGTGAATGATATTTGAACTAAACCCAACAAATTTTATCCAAGACCTTAGTTGGAGTTGTATTGCTGATTTGGCACACCTTTTAAGGCATACTTCTACTATAGTAGAAATATTTTTCACGATCTCACATTTAGTCTTAAATCATATTATGAGTTATAATGTTTAAATTACATTTTCAAAGCTTTTAAAAGTGTAGTTATTTAACATTGCCTTTTCAAAATTTAAATTTCAAATTATGTTATTACAATCCATAGGTGTTAAAGCTTTAATCAATATTTAAATTTTCAGGTAGTAAAATCACTTATGCATCAGTTGTTATGTGGATTAGCCTTCTGTCATTCACACAATGTCCTTCATCGTGATCTAAAACCCCAGAATTTACTGATAAATACTAATATGCAGTTGAAATTGGCAGATTTCGGATTGGCACGGGCATTCGGCATACCTGTAAGATGCTATAGCGCCGAGGTTTGTTTATTTATTCATTATTTTTTAAGCCTATTGATCAGTAAACTTACAGAACGAAGCGATTTGATCGCTCAAACCTGTGAGCACCTTGACTCACTGCAGTTTGTAAGAGTTATTCTAAAATCTTTTCTGAAGGTATTAATTAAGGTTGTCACATTGTGGTATCGACCTCCTGATGTCCTCTTTGGTGCAAAACTTTACAATACTTCAATTGATATGTGGTCTGCTGGATGCATCTTTGCTGGTTGGTCATTCCACACATTCGCGGAATATAAATGGCTTCATTTTTCATTTTCAAATTATTACAATTAGGAATTTCCAGAAATTTCGAACGCTGGAAGGCCACTTTTCCCAGGTGCTGATGTTGATGATCAACTGAAGAGGATTTTCAAAATGCTTGGTACTCCGACGGATGCTACATGGCCAGGTCTATCGCAGCTTCCGGAGTTCAAGGTGCTTTTGGAGCTTTTAAAAATTTGAAGTTTTAACAATTCCAGAACTTCAAAATCCAAACTTCAATTGTCGGTATTTTTAAAAATTATCAAAAGCCCCAAACTTCAGAACGTACCTCTCCTAGTTTCGTGAAGTCTTATTTAAAAAAAACTGTCTTCCAGCCGATGCCCGTATATCATCCTTCTCTTACAATTGGACAAGTGGTACCCAATCTTTCCGCTCGCGGACGCGACTTGCTTCAGGTATGTATAAGATGCTTTATCCATTTATTTTTTTTCCTAAGTGCCATTTCGGCACGACCTGATTCCCCAGATGGGGCGGGAACGAGTGCTTTTAAGAAATTCCAACTGTGATTTATCCTTTCAGTTCATTTCCTTTTGTAGCAAGTCACGGTAGCAATTCATTATAAAGCTTGTGCTCACTACTTGAGTGCTGGAAAATGTTTATAATCTGAAGAATTCGTAATGAGACTTTTGTTTTAGCGGCTCCTGATTTGTAACCCATCTCATCGTATTGATGCCGAAGTAGCATTACGTCATGAATACTTCAGCGATATTAGAGACTGCTAAATAATTTATTTTGAATATTGTTTTGAGATAATTGTAACTCATGTGCATCAATGATCTCGTTGTTGTGTAATAGTATTTTTGCCTGTCTTATGGATTTCTAATTTTGTAATGTATAACAATTTCTCTTTATTATAATTGATGTCTTTCTAACATTCCATTTTTTAAACGGTTTTTATTCATAAAAATTGATTATATATTTGCCACCTGCACTGGTGGATTTAAGTGCTAACTTTATGAAATTCGAGAAAAATCTTTAAATTTCATTTTGAATCATACATTCTGGTCCCTTCAATTCACATCGTTGAAATAAGTTCTCAGCTTCCGACTTGGATCATACTTCTACTTACCGATAAATCACTTTCCAAGAATATTATATTAAATGGAACTAGTTACCAAATCTCAAAATGATTACTCTAGCCCTTAACATTGCTACTCCCACAATCACAGCCACTTGTGAATATAAAGAATGCAAAACAAAAAGGTTTAAATGCATTACGTTACTAGGTCATATCTATCCTGTCAATATCATGTGATCTTATCGTACTGGCATCTTACAATGTTTATCAAAATTATGAGAAACATATATCAATGAGTCTGAGCTCTATCACATATGTCCACCTAGCAACAACATATAAAGGAGCAGCTGAAGAATGAATGAAACGAATATATGAGGTATCCTACTAGGAAGTGAAGTATTTAAATTATAGAACAAATAATGTTAAGTTGAGGCTTACTAGTTAGATCTATTTATATTTGTGTCCAAATCCTAACAATGTTAAGTTGAGGCTCACTATTTAAACTAGTGTCGAAATCCTAAGTTGTGAAATGACATACAGGTAATTAGAGATGACAGGAGCAAACATTATGTACGACAAATGAAACACGTTTTGGGGTGTAATTGCGGCTGATCGTGAATCCTATCATATAGCGAATACGGAAAAAGGAACCAGATGTCAGTGTGTTCGAAATATCTAGACTTCCGATAACTGGCAGCTTATAAGAATTTGTGGATTTCATCGTAAATAGCTAATACAAGTGCGCCACCTGTACCTCGGAAGACGTTGGAAAGAGCACCTTTATAAAGTGCCGTAGGTCCTTCGCTAGCGACAATCTTTTTTGCACAATCCCAAGTATTTGTGTAAAGTATTTCTTTGCGACCAGACTGCATCATCATTCGTCGGCGCACAGTATCCCATGGGTATGACAGGATTCCAGATCCAACAGTTACGATCTGGAACATCCATCAAAAATCAATTAACTATATGACGTGTACATATGCCTGAGGATTGCCTCTTTCAAAAGGATGGAATTTCGCGAAAGACATTAATTACGAAGCAATATTTATGTGTTCATTGTACCATGGGAGAAATTTGGTTCCATCATGCAGTACTAACAAGTATAAATTTCTCCACTGGGAAAAATTTATAAATCCATCCTATCTCAATAGCAAATTAACGAGACTTCAAACGAACAACAAACCTGAGCAATCATCCAAGCAGCGAAGAAGTTGAGTTTCTTTTGCTCAGTAGAAACCATCATTTTGATTGTATCAAAAAGACCGAAGTAAGCTGCACGATAAACGATAATACCTTGAACTGACACCATAAAACCACGATAAAGCCCAATTGGACCATCACTTCTAACAACTTTTACCAAACAATCTATCAAACCATTGAACTCACGCGTTGCACCCTTACCAACATCAACCGCAAGACGAGTACGAGCAAAATCAAGTGGATATACGAAACATAAAGATGTAGCACCTGCGGCACCGCCACTCATTAAATTACCGCCAAAGAATTTCCAAAAATCCTGCAACAATGTGCTTTATGACATCATATCAAGGTCAAAAGTCCTTCTTTTTCAGATGAAATGAATGGACAGATTCCTTTTTAATTTTATTCACAAGCTATTTACTTTGTCTTTATCATATCCTGCAACGAAGATCTTTTTGTAAGTATCTTTGAATGCGAAATTCAGCGCTTGTGTAGGAAAATACCGTATCACATTTGCCAAATTACCACGCCAAAACGATGCAAAACCCTGCTCGGCGGGTACACGCTTAAACACGTCGATAATACCCTTGTAACGTTTGTCAGCATCAATTGTTTTGGATGCATGTTGTACCTAGAAATGAATGAGCTATTCTCTCTCCAAAGAAATAATTGATGATTACTGTGGTAATTATTACTGGCATTCACTGCGTCAACAACTTGAGTTCTACATATCTTGCGATTATATGAGCATATTATAACCTAAAATTTAGAATCTATTTTCTATTTTTTTATACTTAGAAAGAAAATCTATTTTCTTTAGACGTAAAATTTAGTCTTCAAATTTGAAGTCCAGAATCATGCTATAGAAACTGAAATCCTCAGAAGAGATATAAATGTTCACCACCAGTGAAAGTTCCGCATATTTACTCAATATAAATTGCTAAATAACTCATAACTATTTCAAATAATCTTGGCCCTGAGCAATAACAACTTATCTGGAAAATTTACATTTCAAAAATTCAAAACTTCAATGCTGATGTATCCTATTAAGTTACCTTTTATTATATCACTTCACCTAACTGCGTCGGAGAAAAGAAGCACGTTTTGCAACGAAACGAACCCCACGCAAACATTGGTTCGTCATCTTACTACTTTTTCAAAGATGTGACCATTTCAGGCTATTAAATCTTGCTGCCACGAAAACTTTATTCGTATAATAGTAATGTTTAAAAGAGTATCAAAATGCTTAAAACAATGCCCCTACATACTGAAAGGAATATCTTCGTTCACATAACAGCAGTAGCTGAAATAATTTTACTTCTGTAATAATCACACCTGAAGAAGTAGCTTAACACGTTCTATAGGTGCAACAGCAGTTTTGGAGACAGCTGCAGCCGTACCGCCAGATGCCAAATCAATAATGAATTTTCTTCCATCAAATTTACCGGCATTCTGTGATTGTGCTGTTGAGGATGACATCGGGAATATATGGGATTAGTAACTGCAAATGTCGCATAAAATGAAGGGTCCGAATTAAGAATCGATCCGTTACTCACAGGTTAAATTGCTCAGTAATGAATAACTATAATAATAAGTCAACAAGATAAGTAATAGCAACAGTTATCCTACTTTTTTAGGATCATTGCTGCTGCAAATTTTTATTCGCAAAACAAAGTAGCAGCCTTTTTATTTTAATATCAAAATATCTGAAAATTCTTATTCGCATAGCAACAATAACATACTTTTCAGAAAGAGAAAAACATAAAATATACGAATTACGTGTGCATGATAAAATATTTAAGTTACATAAAATAAATCTTGAGAAAGTGAAACATCCGTAGAGGAAGTAAGCATTTTATAAAGCACAAAATTAAACGATATGTCATTTTTTTTACTCTTAGCAAAGACATCTGACCATTCTTACCCATGTTTCTCTTTACTCTTCCTACATCCTTCTCTGTTTCGTGCCGTACGCAAATTCACAAACTTTAGCTTTTCATATCCGCACAAACTCAACTTTGATGCACATCTATGTCTTCACATAATTGCTCACGTACGTCTACATTAGCCGGAAAGTCGAATCACACAACAACAAGACACGAGAGAGGAATAACACGTGACAACGCCTGCGGCATCAACGGCTAACAACAATTTACATTTTTAGGTGACATATTTTGCTGGTTTCTGGATATATGCCAAAGAATAGCGTTGTAAAAGCCTACTAGTAATATTGAAGCTAATCAAATCTGTAGGTAGGGGGAATTCGTTTACAAAGTTTTTGTTGAGTGCGCAGAGTTGGCTGTAAGTTTTCTTTTCTTGCGTTAGTTTATGCTTAGCTTATGAAGTTGTCCTAATCTTATCTTAACTTCTAATCCTACTCAAATTTCAGTTTAATTTTCAATGCTCAATCTTTTATCACGTGTTCTTTTAACATTATTATATATAATCTAAGATAGGTAATACTTATTGGATTACTATTATGATAACAGTAAGTTAACATTATGATAAAAAGTTATTGTTAAGCAATATTTATTGTAATATTAGCAATGCAATATTTGTTTGTTCAAATATTTACTATATATTAACTCTCTTCTATGATATAATAGAAATACTAATAACATAGCGGAAGAATATTAGCAAAATGAAATGTTAGCATGCAAACAAATAATTTGAAATATTAAGAGACATTAGTAAAGTGGAAATTCGTTAACAGTATATCACGGATGTGAAAAGGTAACGTTGCACAAATAAATTAACAGACGTGTTAGGATTAAACCTGCATACAATGAAGTAAACCTGAACGTCCCAATGAGTATATGATGTGTGAGGTCCTCGCTCGTTCGTACAAATCAGCTGACAAACAGCTGCTTGTTGACTGTTGATGATAGTTGGTAAAAAATATAAAGGATGAAAGAAGAGAACTAAATCACTGATACGTTAAGAATTAGCACGAAACTCGCTCGAATATGTGAAATACTTTTGAAAAAACAAACAAAATATTCAGAACTTTTATATATTATAGCAGTAGCAATAATTAGAGAAAAAAGATATGATAGAGAGAGAAGAATGAGGATTGTTAAGTGAGAAAGTGTTAGTGAAGAAAATGATCGAAATGCTAAGAATATCAATTTTGATGGAAATGTCATGAGGGACGGACAAGTGAAACATTTATGAGATGTAAGAGATTGGAATAGGAATTGAAAGGAAAATTACAAAGGAAGAGTTTTAGTAAACTGAAAGAATACGATGACTAGTATTCATTATTTTCTGTAAAAGTTCAAACAATATATATTATAATGATTGTCTTTGTTCTTTCTTATTATATATTATTTTAGGCTATGTTTACGAAATTAATCAATTTTTCTCTTTATTTCAAATTGTTAAAATGTAAAAACTTTATGTGATTGAACTTATATACGATGCATTTTTATGTGGAATTTATTACGAAAACTTATGCAATAATTTTTGATCACATAGAGAATATCATTCTTGTATACATCGATGATATTCGAAATTTAAATTTGAATGAACATATAATTTTTAAGTATCACATGTTAGTAACAAAGTTACATACAAATGAATATATTGTATGTTAATATGAAGTATTGTGTAATCAATATGAAATGCATGTTATTGAGAGAATATCAAAATTTAGACTTGGGCAAACGTAAACATATCTGATTATCAATGCCTTCGGACGCAAAGAAACGACGTGATGCGGCGAAGAAACAGGCAACTAAAAATCGTACGAGAGTTCGCGACCAAAAACTGGTAAGTTAACAAGCATAATTCGTTCTTTTGGAGTCATTTTGTTAGGATTATAATAATTAATGAATTGGATTTTTCATCTCTAACTTTTGGAAAAGTGAAATATAAGCAGAAGACCGTATATGGTATCTACATAAAGTAAGTAGTGATAAGACAGAATAATAATCGCGTGATATCTATATTGGTGTTACACTCTACCAAAAACATTATATAAGTTACCTTGATAATGTGCCGTAAGAGTACATTAGTGGGGTATTCAAATAAAATGTGAAGTGAGACCGTGATTTCCTACATATGTATAATTTATTTGGTATAAGTATATAAAACTTCGTCAGTAATTTAATTAATTAAGAGATGAAGAAACAGTTCTATATTATACTTAATATAGATACCATACAAATATTTATTGTAACTGTGATTTACATTAAAACGGTTAACTTACTATTTTGCATGATTTAGTGAAAAAAACTGTTATCATGATCTTCTTTCAAGAGGTAAATACTTGACCATGTTAATGGAAATATGTGGAATACATTTCTCGTAGAATTATGTAAAATAAGAGTCAAGACATTAATATTCAGATTTGTTTGTAGTGTAGTTTTTTACTGTTGTCCCTCATAGGCTTTGAGGTAATATATTTTAGGAAAATAATGAAAGTATCGGATCATCTGCTCGAGGACAAAGTCCACATATGGAAAATGGTGGTAAACATTTTTATTAAATCTCATTTTTTTCTTGTCACTAATACTGTTTGTGAAAATTTTCGCAATAAATATTGACGAAGTAGAAATATCAGGTTCCAATGTGTTGGGGTTTTTGCGTTTATTCAGCGAAAAGTGGCAGTTGTGCGGAAGATCAAGTTATAATTTGCGAGAAATGTTTAGATTTTATGTCAGTTCTGGATTTTTCCTTTTTTTGATACATGTGGAAGAGAACGTGAATTCATATATGAATTCATAAATCACTGGAGATTACAAAATGTTAAGAATAAATCGCTACATTGCAGACACTTTCTTAGCAGCTTCATCTATAAATGGTGTTATCGATGTAGCTGCTGCGATGCTGGAAAAAATGGAATTAGAAAATGCGAAGGCACGATCAGTTGCAGGAGCATTGACTTCTCATCCATTGTAATTTTTTTTAGAAAAGAACTTTGTCAGTATATAGGCAAAGTTTAAAAGAAAATGCTTCGAAATAACACTGATAGGTGGATATGGTGAAACTACTTACCTTAAATAAAACTAAATACATTGGGGTCAGATCGTTTTGCTGAAACTTGCTTTCAGCCAGCTTACATAAATGTTGCATAAATTTTCGGTAGCTCCAGATTGAAATTAATATTTTTTTTTGTAAAATTTCTAGAAGTTATGAAATTTAGATCTATGGATCTCAAAATAGAAGGATTGACGGTGACATTTCATGGACGTGAAATTGTAACGGATACAAAACTTGAATTAAATGTGGGACGTCGTTATGGTCTTATTGGTTTAAATGGAAGTGGTTAGTTTTATGAATGATTTCTTTTTACAAAATTGTTATAATTTGTCAATGTACTTTTTTATTGGCTTATTTTAGGAAAATCTACTTTAATGCAAGCGATATTCCGACGAGAAATGCCAATTCCTGATCACGTGGATATGTTCTTGGTGTCTCGTGAAATGGCCGCTTGTAATGATAGTGCTCTAAAGGTGTATGCATTTTAAGTATTTTGAAAATTTTGAGTTATTATGAATTTAATAAATGCAGCGGCAAAATAAACATGGATTTCAACTTCGCTAGAAATCATTGAAGGTAGTGTGCGATGTTGATGAAGAGAGGAAAGCACTGGAGAAGCAAGCTGAAGAATTGGCGGCTTCGTCGGACGATGGTTCGTAATTTTCCATATATTGCGGTTCAGAAAAATTTCATTGGTTGAAATAATCCAAATACCCGTTTTGCAGAAAGTCAGGAAAAGCTGTTAGACATCTATGATCGCCTAGAGGAAATGGATGCTGAAAGAGCGGAAACAAAAGCCGCTGAAATATTACACGGTCTCGGTTTCACTAGACAAATGATGCTTAAGAAATGCAAGGATTTTTCAGGTGTGCATAAATTTTGGATTTTTTATTATTCATTGTAGAGCTAGAATCACGTTTTAAAATCGGGTTGTGGACGAATTTAAATGTTATAGGGGGCTGGCGAATGCGAATTGCATTAGCACGGGCACTGTATCTGAAACCATCACTGCTGTTACTAGACGAACCGACTAATCATCTTGATTTAGAAGCTTGTGTGTGGCTTGAGAAAGAACTTGCTGCGTATGTTGAATTTTTATCGCATTTTTCTATCACTGGTTATTATTGATTAATTGGCAGAACATCGGAATTTAACTGGAATTTTCCGATAGTTGTTGTCGACAATTTTTACTAACATTTATTGTTTATAACGTATAACTTATGTCACAGTTTAACATATCTGTTTGAGAGATGGCAGGGGTTTAGGGTGGCCACTACTTCTTAACTTAATCTATGTCCTAAAGCTGTAGAATAGCAACTCTCATACATTTTTAAGGTACAAAAGAACTTTGCTGATCGTTTCACATTCACAGGATTTTATGAATGGTGTTTGCACAAATATCATTCATTTGTTCCAGAGGAAATTAGAGTACTATGGAGTAAGTTTAATTCTTAGTGTCTCTCAGTTACAACAATTTTAAACTTTTCATTTTTTGG